TTTTTTTAAAATTTTTAATTTTTGGGTTCTCTTTTTCTACCTTTTTCTCTGTCATCATGAATTAACGTTTCATCATGCCGACTGATAATTAAACGGTCTGATGGTGAATCAGCGACAAATGTAGAATACGGAACATCAAAGCAACAGTTAAACTTGACGGCGATTGCATCTGAGTTTTGTACGAACGCAGTCATATCAGTTTAGGCTTGACTACCGAACATTACATGATCTGCATGCATGCGAATTAGTAATCATCTACCCTAGTTCACACTCTTGAGATTTTTTTATTTTGGAGAAACGAACTCGTGATCGACCAGCAGGCTACGACTTTGTGAGTAAAGACATTAGAATGGAAGTGGTAGCTGTAAAGGGTCTCATCAGTAGCAGGGACACGCCGCTGCATGCCATCCGATAAAGGGGAAGGAGAGACCTGTGGCCCCTGTCTATGGCCCTGGTCAAAGGCAAATAATAATAATAATAATAATATATGCTTTTTCGTCTTGCGTCTTCCATCGGCAAATAATGTCATGAACGCTTCAGACATCAGCCACTATTTGGACGAGGACGATCTTTCATAGTTCTTGTGCTAAATCTTTTCTCGACCCAATACCAGCGTACGTGTCATACAGCATAATATGGTGCAGTGCCCGTGATGTAGATATTACATCTCGAATATTTTCTCTTTTTTGCATCAGAGAATCCTATGAACGCAAAGGTTTACTCTTTTTCGATTAATGATGCTTAAATCTTTCTACTTTAACTTAAAATTAGAAAAAATCATTCAAAACGTCCCTCATATTTTTTAAAATAACTTTTTTCGTCCTTCACTTTTAAAAGTGTACTTTTACATCCCTTGCAAATCCACGTTGGTCAAATTTGATCTCTATTTAGATTTCCAACTAGTTTTGGTCGGAATCCACCACATGCCTCACGCGTGATCATTTTTTAAAGATAAAATTGTCAAATCAAAATTTACATAATCCGATCCATAATCCCTCACATCTCACAAAATGAATTTTTTCATCCCTCACATTTTATAAAATAATTTTTTCATCCCTCATTAATCACGCATATGAATAATTTTTTTTTAAACTCATGTATATATCTATTTAATTTTATCTGAACAATACGAATAGCATGCAATATATCTTTATTTGATTTCGTCTAAACGTAATGTTCAAGTGAAATTAAACAGATATATACATGGGTTTAAAAAATTGTTAGTTTTTCACTCATATTCATTTCTTTTTACTTAAAAGTTGAGAACAAATAAGACATTTAATTCTAAATATTATCAAGTGTTTATATTGAATTAAATTTGAACAGAAAAAATAAACAAAGAAAATGTATGACAAAAAGAAGTAAGCGATTGACGCTTTCAAGTTTTAAAACAATCACAAGACAAAAAATTCAATTGTTGGTCTTAAAGGTAGCAAGTAGAAATTTCGAAGTTAAACTGCAATTTGTTAATATAACTATAGAATTCGAATTAAGACTGATTAATTAGATGGTTTTATTACACAACTCAATAAATGAATTATTACCAAAAGAGAAAATGTCACAAATATTGAATAGATTCACATGATGAAATCAAATATATATATATATATATATATATAGGCTTAAAATAAAATTGTTAGATTTAAACCCATGTATATATCTATTGAATAACATGTGTAGAACTACAATTAGTCTGTTTAGATGAAATCAAATAGAGATATATTATATGCTATTCGTACTGTCAAGATGAAATCAAATAGATATATTCATAAATTTAAAAAAAAAAACTATTCATACACATGGTCAATGAGGGATAAAAATTTTATTTTATGCAATGTAAGTGATGAAAAAATTCATTTTGTTAAATGTAAGGGACGAAACAATTTATTTTGTGAAATGTAATGGACTATAGATTAGATTATATAAAATCTGATTTGATAATTTTGTCCCCAAAAAAATGATTATATGCAAGGCACGTGATGAATTCCGACAAAAAATTAGTCCGAAACTTGAGTAGGAACCAAATTTGACTAATGCAAATTTATAAGTACGTAAAATTACACTTTTAAATGTGAGAGACGAAAAAAATCATTTTACAAAATATAAGAGACGTTTTAAACGATTTTCCATTACTAGCTAAACTTCGATTAAAATTGATCAACTGCATTCCTTCAAATGGATTGATCGTACTACTAGTGTTTTTTGCTTCAAAATATTTCCATTCTCAGGCAATATAGATCAATTTTACTAGTCCACGTAAAAGAAAAAATTTTAAAAATATGCAGAAACTATACTGGCAAAATACAAGCTAACATCTGCCACACCAACTGACAAAATTTCTACTTGTATGCAAAAAGTGTTGAATATCAAAATCCCATGCATTCTAAAATCAAATTCTGAGTCACTTCCAGATGTCTCAATTCCCCTCCCATCCAAGGAGCCAAAATTCATCCCATGGGTAGGCTAATCCCTGCTCGCTATCTCATCGTTTAATACCATAGACTGAGCAATGTACTAGCACGTAATCAAAAATTGCTGATGCAAATGCAAGTCGGCGACCTAATGCTGCGTTTTTAACCAAATTGTCCCGTTTCTTTCAGTTCAATTGGCCGGCCCCATCCATATCTCAAATCATACTTACTACATGGATAAGCGGTCGCACAAAGCATGCATAGGTCCGCGTGGCTTTGGCTGATAATTGCCCATTAAAGCTTCTGTCCCCAGGACGCTGCTTACTGCTATACCCATTCCAGCTCTTTTCCTCTCGTCAGTGGCAGAAATGGTAAACGGCAATTGACTCTTTTTTTTTTTTTTTTTTTCCAAACGCATCGGATTGTGCATTTAGGATGCAGAATTGTGTATCATGTCTGCCGACCAATATGCATTCACATTTCACACTAGTTAGAAAATCTTCGTATGAAATGTGTATGTACACATGTATGTGTGTGTATGTCTCTTAAATAGAAAGTATAATTGCCAAGTGCAATTCAGGGTATAAATCGTATACTCTTTTGAATTTAATGGTTGTAATTGACTTTTGTACACAGCTCTAAATTAAGAATGCAACCAAAATCGTTGTTCTACAATTATTTGCTAGATGTATACAATTATTGTTCCTGTGTATACATCTATTGATTTGATGTAGTCCTTTTAACCTGCAATTGTTACTCATAATTGTAGAGGCCTTAATCCTTTAAACTGAGACTTGTATGTTGCGGAAAATAAAAACATGGAGATGCGTCAATAAAGTTCGTGATCCATGGTATATATATCTTCTTTCCTTCGATTGTGATGATGATGAATTTCTTTCACCTTTCGGACTTTCTTGACTCTAGCCTTTCCCCTTTTCTTTTCTTTTTTTTTTTTTTGTTAAAAGTTATGTCTGTTTGATATTATCTTCATTTGGGGTGAAGTACTTTAACAATGCTGACTTCATTTACTGTACCGTATTAATTGATATGAAGTTAAACTTTCATATCGATTTTTCACCTCAGTGACTTTTTTTGAATTGTCACTTTCTACGACAAAATTCAAATCCCGAGATTCTCAATAATAATAATACACCTGTTTTATTTGTTCATCCCAACACGATCATCTGCCGTCGTTTGACCGGTGTCTCCATACTTGTCGAATCTCATTCTCATCGTAAGTTTCCACGCTCTCTTCCCCATTCTTTTTCAGGATTTATACGCATAATTGGGACTTTAATCTTTCAAAAAATGGTAACTCTTTGTGGGATTTGCACCAAATACTCTCTCACTTCACTTTTTATGACGAAAGTGCACACATTTGGTAGCGAAGTTTTGGAGTGTTTTGAATAATTTGCATACATAAAAGTACACATATGTTAGTTATCCACTTGCATGAACTGATATAAAAAAAAAAAAAAAAAACCAAACAGCTATAACTGAATATAAAAAAAAAAAGTTAGTTATCCACTGAGTATCAAAAAAAAAAAAAAAAAGTTATCCACTGTCATGAACTAAAAGAGCTATAACAAGTATTTGTCGTTGAGGTATTTAATAGTTGAATGTGAAGATGCAAAGACAATATAAAACACGTAAATCACATCAATATAAAACGACAAAAGCAAGTGCCATATTATGTGCAAAAATGCTAGTCTTTTTTTTTTTTTTTTTTTTTACAGTAACGATAATATTTTTATAATCTAATTTGTTACATTATATAGGGAAGAGAAGTCTAAAAAGACAGATATATAGAGTTGACTAGACTAAAGATGAACTCTAACATTTCCTTTAAATTTTTTCATTACATGTGAGATTTGAACTCCCGATCTATAACCCAAAAAGAGTCTTAGTGACCATTAAGCTTACAAAAATGCCAATCGGCGACAGAGATATTTTGGATCATAATTTCCATTTGTCAAATTTATTATTTGAAACTTTGTAATAATGCTAAGGATTTGCCTATATCTACTCAATTTATGATTTAAAGGTATACGCTTACTTTTATTGCTACTCCTTCTATTTAAAACCCCTCCTCACTATTAAGCACTATTATTAATGAGACAAGCTCTAATTCTACAAATGTATAGTAATTCACGATTTCACATGGCAATTGCCACTTTCATATAGATATTATACCAATGCATATGTTAAGAAGGTTGAGTGCATGTAACACATGAAATTACAAATTAAAATCTAAAAGTATCAGCTTCACTCATCTACCAAACCCGAACAACTTTTGAAAACAAGAGATACAGTACCGCAAAGTGTACAAAAAAATGTAATAATGAAAAATGTACAAGTCGTTAAAAAATATCAAGACCAGTGTCCCCCTCCCTCCCCACCAAGTCCCCACAAAATTGATTAAAGGCCGTTTAGCATTTACAGGTCCTACTAGCCAAAAATATACTAATTGATATGCATGGCCAACCACCAGTCAGTATTCAAGTCCCCACGAGCAAGGACAAATGAGTAAAATCACTAATAAGCCCCGTTTAGTGTTTCTTTTAAACAGTCTATATACCTTCCAAGCTCCCTCCATATTTCCCTAAAGCGTCTCCTTCTCTCTTGTATCTTTTCTTAAACACAATTATTCTCTTTCCTTCTTTCATTTGTTGGTTGGTTCGTTCATGGCTCGCTCCCCTCAACATCGCTTTCTAGTTTCCCTAGGATTCCTCGTCCTCTTCATCTCTCTCCCTTCTTCTCACCCCTTGTCCATCCATGACCTCCTCAAAACCAGAGGCTTGCCAGCGGGACTCCTCCCAAAGGACGTGAAGTCGTACACGCTTTCAGAGAATGGACTCCTTGAAGTCTTTCTCGAAGGCCCTTGTCTAACCAAGTTTGATACCATGGCTTTCTATGAAAGCGTGGTCAGGGCTAATCTTACTTATGGAGGGCTCACTGGAGTTGAGGGCTTCTCTCAGGAAGAGCTTTTTCTGTGGGTGCCGGTTAAAGATATCATTGTTGATGATCCGAAGTCTGGTCTCATTCTTTTTGACATTGGATTGGCTCATAAACAGCTTTCTCTCTCCCTCTTTGAAGATCCACCGGACTGCAAACAAGATGGTCAGTGTTGCTTCGCTCTTTTTTCCACCGGATTGGCTATTTTTTGGGGGTGGGGGGGGAGCTGTATCTTCTTTCATGTTCTCGGTTTCAGTTTCTCTTTTGTTTTTTACAGGGTTTTTTTTCCTTTTCAATTCCCTTCGTGCTTCCCTTTTTTGGCCGGGTTGACTGGTAAAAGCCGCGTTAAGTTAATGAATTACGCTAACTCTTTCCTTGTGATTATCTTAAAATCTCAAGTTATTAAAGTTTTCCTTGCTGTGCTTCTTGGTTTTGATAGTTCCTAATTGAGCGGGTGTGAGATTAAGGATCAAACTCATTGCGACGCGTAGCATTAAGTCGCTGAGAGTAGCCTAAGACTATATCTAATTTCTTCTTCACTTGTTCGATCGGTACAAGGAAAAATTCCACTATAGATATCGTTCAGAACTGCTTTTGATTGATGCTGTGGGTTGAATTTTAGTATACATACTCAGGTAAGCATATGGGACAAGTTTAACACGGGATCCTTTGCTTTATGAAAAGTTACTCTCGCTTTTTTGTACGTCACTTCCAATTCCATGACCTTTAAATTTTCAGTTACTCAATAGGTAGAAGACTTCTCGTTTTTGTATTTGACAAGAAGGAAAGTTACAAAGTAAAGATTCGAAAGGCAGAAAATTTGGAATGTTTTCCATTTTTACGAGTGTTGAATTCTTGATTTTCTTGATTTTTTTTTTAAAAAAAAATAACTAGGAATTTTTCTTCTTGGATGAGCACTTTAATTTTGTTCTATTTATATACCAATGCTGCTTCATTTTCATTTCAGTTTCCATAATTATGAGGCATGTGCACTTATTTATTTCCACCAATTAAGGGAAGTAAATAAATTAATTGTACATTTATCGTGGGGGCCCCGCATATACGGCCTAGACTTTTGTTGGGGGTAGAAATCTGTGGGACTGGATTTCGAGGACATCAAGTCTTCGTAGCTCCTTAAATGAATCTTAAATTGATGGTGTTTTGTCATTTGCGGAGAACATCACAGATAAGATAAGGTTTGACAAGTCATCCCAGAAAGAATTCTAATTCGGTTGGAAACTATATCCTTAGATGATAACTTCCAAGGTTCAAACCCCGATCTTCTCTAGCTAAACCTGTTCACAGATTCTTGTCTTCTTTCAATTTTTTTTTTTTTTTTTTTGGTAATCTTCCTTCGATTTTTTATTGGTCATAGATTCTAATCTCTTTTGAATCTTTTTGGTTATAGATTCTGATCTTTTGATTCTAATTTTATAAAATTCTGATTATGCAGGTATTTTCAAGAAGATTACAAGAAAGGAAGGCGGGTTCGAAGCACAGAGAAAAAAATAAAAGATGCCGCTCTTTAGCTATGCAGTTGGGTCATAATATATATATATATATATATAGCTATAGTATTGCATGTTGGTAGGGCTGTAAAGAATGAGATGTCCAGTAGTGTCATTAGAAGCGCTAAATGCTAATCTTCTAACTTTTAGTTGCTTTTTGTTTGATGACATATAATCTCATAGACCGGAGAAAACCGAAAAAAGGAAAAGCAAATTCTAGCTTACTACATCATATTAAAGCAAAGAATCTATTATGTCCGATCTTCTTCGGCCAACATATTATTACTATGCTCCTTCCTTCGGTTATGTTAAACCATCCTACCCCTCTAAAAAAGACAATAATCTCGTCCGTTTATTTGACAGCAATTGGTGTCGTCGTGCATGCCTAAAATCAATCTCGACCGTAGTTCACTTCGTTTTGAGATTTCTACCTTTTATTTATTCGATCGATTAAAACCTCCTCAACTTCATGTTTTTTCGTAATACGCTGCTCCTCTCGTCTCGTTTTGTTAGTATTGATTTTTTTTTTTTTTCATACAGATTAAGAAAGTGTAATTAATTTGGTTGGAAATATAAATTTAGATTAATAATTTTCTTAAATATTCTTGTGTTAATCACGAAGAGTGTCAATTAATATCAGTTACAGTTAATGGGTTAGTATTGAAAAAATTTAATATATTTAATATAGTGGGTTAGTATTTAATAATAATGTATTAATAACAAGATATTTAATAAGAGTATTTTAGATAATTTGAAAGATTATTATATTTTTTAATGAAAAAGTGAATTATAGTTTGGGACAGACGAAAAAGAAAAATAATAATATTAAAATGGGACGGAGGGAGTACTGTTGTCAACGAAATGGTTAAGATTGATACGTACAGTTAATTCCATATTTATCATTTTAGCCGTCCGAAAAAAGAAAGCCGTGTGATGGGGTCCATTTCCGGAACTCATCATCAAAGTGGGTCCACTCGAAATTAGCGATGTGTCGTGCTGTGCATCATGACTGTCCGTCCTCAGGGCCTTTGGATTTATTGAGACTGTCGTCATGTTCATGTTTCACACACCTTCCTAAGTATATCCATACTACGGTCGGGTGTATATCCTCCCTCCCACTACTTTTTCCACCTGCTCAAGTAGCTGAGTGTATATATATGTTTTCCCCTAAGTATATTCAGGGCGATCACGGGCTAACTATTATGACTATGAGCAGCCTTCATTTCTGGTATTCTCACGGGCCAACTGTCCGTGGTCGCATGATCGATTCTTTCTCCAATGACACTTTTTTTTTTTTTCTTAAAGAAAAGAAGAAACGTTTGGGAAGATTGATTTGCCTTCTCTTATTTATTGGCCATTGAAAATAAAATCACCGTCCTTTGGAATATAAAATAAAATCTTTTCAAGTTGTATTTCAAAAATTTATATCCAAAAAATATGTCGCCTTAAAATAAAACACGAATACGTGAATTTAGTAATTCAAATATATGAACGAGCACCTTCATAGATGAGCTAATTAAAAAACCACAAGAATGTGCCAATGAATTTTTTCTAGAAAACAAATGTTCCAATGTATCATTTTGGAGATGAATAGACATCTACACTTATCTCTACTCATTAATTTTGCGACAGTAATTTCCTTTTATTGATTTATTTATATACTTTTTTTTTTGCTTGAAGAAATTCGCTCTTATAAGCTCCCCCGGGGGGTTCTATTATGATTAGAGGGCAAAAGAAGAGCTTCTTCTGTCGGAACTCACAACCTAAAAAATGAGAAAAAAGTACCAGCAAAATGGGCTCTGTTGGGCTACACAATTAAACGTAAATATAATGTGTTGCACGAAATGAGGGAAGTTATGCCCATCATAGTGGACCTATCACAAGGAGAGCATTAGTAACAGTTTTAGGCTTCATTTTCAGTCCCCATGAAGCGATCCGATGCTCCAAGTCCAAATCTTCCTACGTGAAAAGAATTGTTTGTCCCTCTGTCCCAGGTCGATTGTGAACATCGATTATGAGTGGTGTGTACGTGTATTACTTGAGATTTGAAAGTCAGCATGTCTTTTGGGTTAGACTGTGAATTTCCCTTAAGTAGTGTGTGTGTGTTATTTATGATTGTTGGTGAGAAGAATTGTTTGTGAGATGAGATCCATCCATCCATCAATTCATAGAATGATTTCAAACTAATTGTGTTTAAATGTGCAAACCGCTGTGATTTGAACAAGAATGCTTAAAATGGTGTTAGCTTAATCAACATTATCGCCCCCCAAATATGCAAAACTAAACTTGACATCAATTAGAAATTCGTAATTAATTGAAGGGAGGATATATATATATATATATATATATATATATTTTCTTTAGGCAGAGATCATTTTATATTCATATCATAGTCCAAAGAAATGAAATCTTTGACTATTCAATAGATCAAACAAAAATTGAATGTTTTGATCCCCATGTCTCATTTCGTTTTGCTTCTCAAAACATTACCAAAATCTGCTTTTGTTAAATAAAAAGTTGTTGTATGACTTCCTAATGCATATAAAGATCTTCTGTGAGAAAATTGCGTATGTAATACTTTGCGTAGCCTCCCGCAAATTCCTAGATTCTTTGGAACGTCTCTAGAAAATAAAAGAATTGTTATTGTTGGCCTTAATTTTACCCTTATAGTTGACTTGATCCATGGAAGATTTGTTATTGTTAATTGCTATTTTCTTGCTCGAAGTAACCAGTAACTATTTTATTCCTAGATTCTATTTTCTAGTCTCTGATTATATTTGAATGCCATTTTAGATTATTAAGCTTATTATTTTCTCCTTTTTGTACTGTTAGTTTTGCTAATTCTTGCTTCATTCTTCCAAAAAAAAAAAAACAGAGAGAAAATTTTTGTTTCGCTTGGAAGGCCAAGGGCAAAAATGTCAATTAACCTGAGGGAATTGAATTCCTCCCAGCTTTGACGTGTGTGATTGGTGAGAATCGTGATAGCCTCCAATATTTTAAACGTCACCTTCTTCGGTGGCATTTGCCCGGAGAACTGATCCTCATCTCTTCAGATTTTTTTCCCCCTTGCTCCCAATTTTCTACCTTTACATTTTCTGGGCTATTCGGGTTTCATTTTATATCATGGGAGGCGGAGGAGCGATGAGAGCAGCGGCCAAAGTCGCTGGTTTTGGAGTACTCAACGGCGGTCTCCGTGGAATTGTGCCTGATCATCCTGCCTCCACGGCCATGCGGAAAGTTTTGCGCCCAGTCACCGGTTTGGCCTCCTCTTCTGCCCCTGAAAACGTGAAGGAGGCTGCCGTCGCCATCGATGTGTCTCCGGTGCAGAAGCCCTGCTGGGAATTTGATGATTGGGAGTTGGCCGGAGGTGAGGAGGATTTGTTCGGCGGCTCCGGTGTGTCGACGCCGAGGCTTGTGTTTGGTGGTGCCCCAAGTATCGCCGAAGCCAAAGAGGCCACTTATGAACTCAAAGAAGCTCTTGAGAAGTACCAAGATTCAATCTTGTCTCCTTTTAAAAGAAATTTATCTGATTTTATTGAATAAAATACACGTAAAATGATGATCTTGCGATGCATTTCTACATGTTTTGTTATCTCTTTATATGAAAAGTTATTTACATTTTTTGAGACTGTTTCAAGTTAAAATGTTAGTTCTTTTTACTGATAAGGTGTTTTTAGATTTCTTTCTTGTAGTGTTTTTTTCCTTAATTTATTTTCTGGGGCGACCTATGATTACGTTATGCACAGTAGTTCGCTGGTATCACGAGTGTTCTAGTAGTTTTCTTGGTTATTGTCAAATTGGGCCGATTTTTTATCACTGTAATCATTTTTCAATCTTGATTACAGTTATATATTCACGTTTGTTGAATTAGGTAGACTCCAATAGATTACACAATAGACAACGATAAAGAAAACCAAGAAAAGAACTTGGCGTTGTTTTGTTCGAGAATATGGTATTGTTTTCCTTCGGTTTTAGATAGGCTACAATTAACAGTTAACAGTTAAAAAATGCTGAATATTTTATGTTGCCCTTTGTTAATTGTTAGGGTATATCTTTCTGCACCCTCTACACCCAAAACTGGGTTGTCAGGGCTTTCTAGGTCAGAAGTGCCAGAGACCAAAGCTTGCGTAACCAGCGAGACCATACTTGCTCCTGCGCCAAAGCATGCAATTCAAGCTTTTAGGTTTCTGAATGAAAGCCCTGCAGTTCAGGTTCAATTTCAACTATATTTTTGCTACATTTGAGGGACTGTGAAATATTGCATGATACATTCTCCATGTTGGTTTTAGATATATCAGCAACATTTCAGCATTTAAATTCTCTACTGGCACGCTCATCCGTTTTTTACGCCTTTTGTTCACAATATTGTGTTCTGGAGATATCTAGAGCATTTCAGCTTTGAAATTCTCTAGTGTCATTTAGGCAGGGGAAGGTATCCTGGAAAGGAGGATACAATGATATGCGGGATTTTTTAGTATTTTTTGGCTTGATTTGTCTATATACATGACATTCTTTGGTGACCTGTTGTTTATTATTGATTGCTTTCCCCTTTGTGTATGTGTTTGAGTGCAGCTGGGTTAAACCTTGTGGTTGTGGATAATTTTTCAGTGCACTTACTAGAACTAAATTTGAAATTGATACTAGCAATCTCTGGTAACCTAGGGACAGATTTATTTTGGTTATCTGTTTATGCTCACCAGTCATGGTACCATTCATAGTTTGTTGGTGTTGCTTTTCCAGTGACCCGTATTTACTCCAAATAATGTGTTGGATCTGGCCTTTTTTTTTTTTTTTTTTCTCCAGAGTGTTGTTGCTTCAATTGCATCAGATCCGAATGTCTGGAATGCTGTACTGCTAAATCCGACACTTCAGGATTATATCCAGTCACAGAAGATGGGTAAGATTAGTTTGTGGCCCTTTTGCTTCTACTCTGCTATTTGGTAGTTTGGGGAAAAATTCTTAACTTCATTCTTGTTGGCAGGTGCTCCTTCCTCAACTACGGATCAATATGAAAAGGGTTCCACTGCTGATAGTGATATTCTTCGCCAAGATCTCCTAGGAGCGTATCATCCGATCGAGCTGAGTCCGAGTACGGAGAATCCAACTCCACAGGAAGGTTTATGGAGCTCTGGCAGGAGCTTAAGCTTACGGTCGTTGATATGATGAACAGTTTGTCTGATTACTTTCAGGCACTGTTTGGGGGTTATTCTAACAATAAAGGAGCAGCAGATACTAATGGAAATGTGTTCAGTGGCTTTGTGGATAAGGCTCTTGGGCCTTCATTAATGGGCTTGGCTGTCATGGTTATAGTGGTAGTGGTGCTAAAGCGAGCTAAATAAATAATTAATGTCTTTCCCATTTGCTGCTTGTGAATTTGCCGAAGCCACATCATGTCTACATCAGGAGTTCTTTCCAGAAGGGGTAGAGAAATCTAAGATAGCTTTGGAAATTGCTCATGTGTACATATGAAGCGGGAAGTTCTAGTTTCTGTTAAGGTTCCGCACGTTTTCTTTACCAGAACGTTTGTCCTCCTTTTGACTAAATTTGATGATTATCTTTGGGTTAGAGAGCCTTCGTTTTGCTAATTCTCAGAGGTTGATGTGGCTTGTAGTGGCAGCTTGCAAATGCTGCTAGTAATTTAGGCGTGTCTTTGATGTGGTCAAGATGGTATCATGTTGGCAGTGTCCGTGACACACTAACAATAAACATTCCCTTTGGCCTTTGCAAAACGATTGATGGTTTTGCCCAAAGGAAAAAAATGATTGGTAACCCCTCAAGCAACGCTTATTTTTAGCGCCTTTCTTTCTGTCAATGAGATCAAGAACACAAAGGTCAATTGAACAGTGCATGTGCATTGTGTTGGATTTCCTAAGAATTCTTGTCACTAAAGGTTGAAATTGTTGATCTCTCCCAATTCAACTGCCCTGCATCATCGATCTGGTGCATGTAAAAAGAAATACTAAAGCAGATGAGCCTAAAAATCAATCCAAAAGGTTAGAGAATAACTATTTGACTGTTGTCATTCTTATTTGCTCTTTTGCGTTGAACCCTCTGACTACATTTGGAGGTCAGCATTGATAAAATTTCTACGTCTGGTCTACTGGAGCCTTAAGACCAGCTACTAACATCGCTACAAGGCATCAAAATCACTAGAATATTAGGCCGCGGGGAGGAGGAACGCTAATCTAGCTTCATGTTGTTTAAGGCTGCCGTCAGAAATTTGATACATTACAATTCTAAGTATTCCACAAAATTGCTCAGCCATTTAGTACTCGAGACTACTGGGTAATTGGTATACAAGTGAAAGCTTGCTACCCATTTCTACGGAAGACTTTGGTTCTTCTTTACACGTCTCTTCTACTAGACCTGGTTGGGACTATTTAGTGAAGGTGGCCTGATCCATCATCCATCAATCTGAGCTCAGCTGATGTACATGATATCCTCCTTATCGACATGCATCTTGCCTTTGTCGCGTCTATTGTTATCTCTTGTTTGGTTAGGTTGCCCACGCTGCAAGAACAAATCCACCCAAATCAGAGTCGATATGAAAACTTTTAAATCACAGTTATGCATCTCCACAGGTTACAAGACAGATGATACAGATTTTATGCAAACTTACCTTCCTCAGAACAAATGCTAAATACAAGTATGCTACTTCCCATTCATCTGGTGATAGTGTACCTGAATTTCATCAAGAAGTAATTTCACAATCAACAAATGTAAAAGAAGCTTTCACTGATGCCACGTCTTACTATCAGCTAAGTCTGTTCGGATTTGAAACTTACTGTGGTCTTGATTTCCATCGCCTAAAGCACCAAGTCTCCGCATGAGTTCAATGAACTCAGGTTTCTTTAGATATTCATCCACAAAAACATGAGAGTTTTTCACAAAAACTAGCTCCAAGTCATACTGCATCAGCGGAATTCAACTGTAAGAAAATTTTCAAGTGCAGCAGTAAAGCCCCAGATTGCATGCTTTATCACTATAATGAAAGTGATAAAGCATGCCAAACTAGTATATATGGTAATCGTGAAGCTTAGTACATATACTAATTGTGAACCTCTAAACCTTTCTGACACATAAGCACTCATCACCAAAGCTAGAGATCAGATCATTTCTTTACTACGGATTTGCATCGTATCTCATAGTAAACATCCAGGAATCATAAAAAGGCACTTGTTAAGCAGCACTATGTGTAAAAATCCCAAGATAGGGTATATCCTATGAGACAGTTCCTCATGATTTCCTTTAGCTGAGATGTAAGAAACTGAGACAAATATGAAAATGATGGCAATCCTTCATTTCAATTGAGACGTACTATAAATGTTCAACACGACTCTTATACCTCTTCAGCCAACGCTTTGAAGACATGAAAAGGAACAATCCACTCTGGACAGTCTACTGCATCCTGCAAGATGGAAATAATATCGTTACTAAATAGAGTCTAGACAAAATATTGTTGGATTAGACGGAAATAGTCATACCACAATTTCCCAAAAAGTTGTACGGAACACCAAATAAAACCAAGGAAAATCTACTTTTGAGAAGAATAACGACAAGCTAAGTTGAAGAATTAAGTACCTCAAGGTGGAATTTATACTTGATGCCAAAGGGATTGAGGATTTAAATTTCTGAAACAAATAGAAATAAAAATCATTATAAAATATATGTAGCTTGGAATTAATAAGATATTTGAGGCCACATGACATTCTAGCTAGCTGGAGAAAAGCAATTCACCTTTTCTGAATACTCCTCGTCAAAACGTATCCAGTAGACGCTATACCAAAAGCCAACCCTTCAGCTGCATATACCAGATAGAATTTAGCTACCATACATCAAATGCATTCAAAATCTTCCCATTTTAATTTTATGATGGCAAAGAGGGAAAACTATTCATGTGCTAACACAAAATTTCTCCAACATGATCTTATTTGACAAGAACATGAGCAGGTAAAGCAAACTGCGTGGCAAAAATTTCACTAAAAAAAAATTCTAAATCATTGGTTGACAAGTAAACATGAAGCTTAAATTCAATAAAGAGCATACAGGTGAAACTAAACATTGCATTATGAATTAGTCAATTAAATTTGCTCTTGGCACAAGGAAAAGACGCAAAGAAAAGTTGAAAATAAAATATTAGCATCTGGTATACAAGAATAACTGAAATCGTTAATGCAGCATCATCATCATTCACAAACATTCTCCCAATCAAACCACAGAATCAAGGAGACAAACTACTAAAAGATAATGAGCAACTACTGAGGAAAGCAAACATCTGTATTTACTATGGTAAAACTTCTACCATCAGAAAGTTCACCAAGTCAATCTTTGTCAATCTAATCAGGATGAGGGAGAAACATTAGAAACAAGACAAACAAATTAAACCTTCTCTAAGCTTTTTGATGATGACGTTGGCATCTGGCATTGTTCCAATAAAGATGCCTCCTGGACGAAGCAAAGCTGATACATTGGCCAAAGCCCTCCGTGCACGTGCCTCGGTCGACCACGAGTAATGCATAGCAAACTGCAAACTTGCAAGTTTTGATGAGTTACAATCTTAATTTTTTGAATCTTGAAGTACTAAGAACAAGTCTTCCGTGCACAGTAGAGAATGATTAATGACCACAACTAACTATACTGATCCAAATAGAAGGAAGCATGAAGAATCAGTTCAATGTCCAATTGGTTGTGTGATAATTTTAAATGGACCCTATTCCCTGACAGCCTGAAGGCGGCACTTTAATTTACGCTAGCAAGATCAAGGAAGAACATCAGAAGAATATCAAATCCATATCTTGCCAAAGCAGGTCCATTAACTACCCAAAAATTTCAGGAAGAAGTACAATAACAACAAAAAAATGCAGTTCACTGCAAAGTATATTCAAACACACCTCATCCAAAAGATAAAAACATGGTAAGGATCAAGAAAGAAAATATCACCATCCATAAGTGTACAATAATGTCCACAAAGCTGAAAAGTTCCAAAAATTTCATTCCAAAAAAAGTAAATGAATGCTTGTGAAACCACAATAATCATTGGATGACTATAAATTCAATTAAAAAAAATCAACAGACATTGGTCATCTTTAGAGCAATTCTAGATTTTTCTAGTTCACTCCAGTGTAGAAGATAACAAGTTGAGCATATCTCCCCATCCAACAATTGATAAAGCAACAGTTACATACAAAAATTTGATGCCAGAAAACACAGACTAGCATGTCTTGGCGAGTAAAGGAACAAATGTCATGAACACCAAGATAATGACTAACCTGGCAGCTACAAATGTCAAAAGGGGCATCGTCTGATAGAACTTTATCCAAGCGTACCTGAAATCATGCAAAATGGCCAAAACAGAACTTTTCCTATAATTAATGACAAAAATGTTAAACACAGAAAGCGGATAGTCCATGTGAATCTCACAACAGAAGATGAATAGTAACTGTAACAATAGGCACATGGTCAGCCTAAAGATGGAGTTGAATTTAAGCTAGCAATGATATTTACCTCAAAACAATCTCCACACGTAAGTCTGGCAGGAAAAGAAAACTTTTTTCTGCGCTGATGATGGTCCGCATCTCCATTATAGCGTGTACGACAGTCTTCTATCTGCATTCCTTGGGCAAATAGTCAAAATTTCTAGTTTAATCCTAGAATCCAGCAAAACAGATTTTTTTTGCATTGGACAAAAATGTGTTCTGTGGTAGAAACTTATCACATTAATGATGAGTGCGCTTGTAAGAACTACAGTATTTGTTGCTAATCATGCAATCATCTAATTGCAGCAGCCATTATAGTGACCAGAAGACAGATAGCTGAATGAAAGAAAATTACCGAGCCTTCAGCTATATCAACTCCAACATAGTATCCAACCTTAGCTTTGTCCCATTTAATCAATCACCACCTGTGCCAATGTGTTAAAAAAGAGAGAAGAAAAGATTAATATTTAAATATTTTGGGACAAAAAATGAAAGCACATGAATATGTTCGTGCACACAAGTATTAAATGGTACCTTCCCACAGGCAAGATCAAGAACCGCATCACCTTTTTTGGCATACAACTGAATCAAGACACTCTTAATCTGTATGAAGAAGAAAAAACTAAGCCCAATTCTACCAACTGAATGATCAAGTAACTGCCATACAAATCATACCCAGTTGTTAAGCTTCTTTAAATGGATAATTGGACTTGCTTCTCGCTCTTCAAGAGTCTGATTGGTCCTTGCACTATAATGATCAGCAACTTTCCTAGCAAAAATCTTTGTACTCTCATCCTCTAGAAAGTGTCCATCCCCTAATCACAGACGAGAAAATACCTCAAATTAAGAAGACATGATTCAAC